TTACCTCGAACCTCCATCTCCTCCTCATTATAACATCCCGTGCCGTGTAATTTCTAACTTAATAATGGTGGTGTTCTCTCAGACACCAAGCAGACATACAACTAATTTACTGTACTGAGCAATGACACCATTTGGGTTATCTGTTAGCCAGGCTTCAGAGCTGTATAGCAAGGATGGTGTCACTGCAACGCCCAACACCTGACGTTTATATGCAAAGGGCAATCCTGTATTTGCTGCACAAAAAGAACGGAGAATTTATTCACTATCATTCCACTGTTAGTCTCACGTAATTTCAAGACAGTGTCCATTATCCCACTCTTATTGAACCAAGCACCTAGTGTCCATTATCCCACTCTTATTGAACCAAGCACCTAGTGTCCATTATCCCACTCTTATTGAACCAAGCACCTAGTGTCCATTATCCCACTCTTATTGAACCAAGCACCTAGTGTCCATTATCCCACTCTTATTGAACCAAGCACCTAGTGTCCATTATCCCACTCTTATTGAACCAAGCACCTAGTGTCCATTATCCCACTCTTATTGAACCAAGCACCTAGTGTCCATTATCCCACTCTTATTGAACCAAGCACCTAGTGTCCATTATCCCACTCTTATTGAACCATGCACCTAGTGTCCATTATCCCACTCTTATTGAACCAAGCACCTAGTGTCCATATCCCACTTATTGAACCAAGCACCTAGTGTCCATTATCCCACTCTTATTGAACCAAGCACCTAGTGTCCATTATCCAACTCTTATTGAACCAAGCACCTAGTGTCCATTATCCCACTCTTTGAACCAAGCACCCAGTGTCCATTATCCCACTCTTATTGAACCAAGCACCTAGTGTCCATTATCCCACTCTTATTGAACCAAGCACCTAGTGTCCATTATCCCACTCTTATTGAACCAAGCACCTAGTGTCCATTATCCCACTCTTATTGAACCAAGCACCTAGTGTCCATTATCCCACTCTTATTGAACCAAGCACCTAGTGTCCATTATCCCACTCTTATTGAACCAAGCACTAGTGTCCATTATCCCACTCTTATTGAACCAAGCACCTAGTGTCCATTATCCCACTCTTATTGAACCAAGCACCTAGTGTCCATTATCCCACTCTTATTGAACCAAGCACCTAGTGTTCCATTATCCCACTCTTATTGAACCAAGCACCTAGTGTCCATTATCCCACTCTTATTGAACCAAGCACCTAGTGTCCATTATCCCACTCTTATTGAACCAAGCACCTAGTGTCCATTATCCCACTCTTATTGAACCAAGCACCTAGTGTCCATTATCCCACTCTTATTGAACCAAGCACCTAGTGTCCATTATCCCACTCTTATTGAACCAAGCACCTAGTGTCCATTATCCCACTCTTATTGAACCAAGCACCTAGTGTCCATTATCCCACTCTTATTGAACCAAGCACCTAGTGTCCATTATCCCACTCTTATTGAACCAAGCACCTAGTGTCCATTATCCCATTGAACCATGCACCTAGTGTCCATTGAACCAAGCACTAGTGTCCATTATCCCACTCTTATTGAACCAAGCACCTAGTGTCCATTATCCCACTCTTATTGAACCAAGCACCTAGTGTCCATTATCCCACTCTTATTGAACCAAGCACCTAGTGTCCATTATCCCACTCTTATTGAACCAAGCACCTAGTGTCCATTATCCCACTCTTATTGAACCATGCACCTAGTGTCCATTATCCCACTCTTATTGAACCAAGCACCTAGTGTCCATTATCCCACTCTTATTGAACCAAGCACCTAGTGTCCATTATCCCACTCTTATTGAACCAAGCACCTAGTGTCCATTATCCCACTCTTATTGAACCAAGCATCTAGTGTCCATTATCCCACTCTTATTGAACCAAGCACCTAGCTAGACATATCTAGGGGAATATAGTGCTGTAGTGCTTGTAGTGTGTGTGTTATCACTGGTGTTTTATCTGTTTCTTCTCCATTCAACCACATATGCCCTCAAAGGACCTGGGTGACCTGGTATTACTTCAGGTCAGGTCAATAACATGAGACCCACTAATCGCTAAATCGAGCGAAAATAACGGAAATTCGATTTAGCGGAAAGGGACGGCTCTAATTACATGGTTAATTGAGAATACCGTACACTAATACCTCAACATTTGTGAGGAATAGGTTCCCGGGACACCCGAGAGTGTAGATTTTTGCAAATAACATTGTTTTTAAATGTGTCCCGCCTTTAATATTATAGTGCACCGTAAATTAGGGTCCAAAAATAAATAAGATTAGAATAAACTTTATTAAGCTCTAAATACTACACAGGTATGTACAGTTACTTTATGCAGTTGTATTATGTATTAATAAAAAACAAATTAAATTAGAAGTAAGTAAATGTGGTGTGATGTGAAAGAAGTCAACTGGACAGCAGTAGTGGCGACACATGGTCTGCTGCCTGCCTCACACACGGCCCCTACCACCACCACTGGTGTCAGCAGCACACACACGAACATCCGCCTGACACGCAACACTGTGAATGAAACAAGCGTACACACTGAACATTAGGTTTTCCTGTAACAAACTTATGACTGGGAAGAATATACTGTATAATTTATCTCTACCTCATAATGGCTGCTGTAGAGGTCTCAGTAATGATACTGAAGATATTACTGCTCCTCCATTGAGACCTCTGGGCAGGGATCATCCAGAATGTGTGGTGAAGGGCTGGCAGGTGGAGTGAAGGAGAGAGGCAAGCCGTGAGGGTGACAGGGGTGATGCAGACCACGCCGGGCTGGCTGGTGGGGTGAAAGACGGGAGGGGAGGCATTTAAAACATTGTTATTGGCAATTGTTTGGCCTATTTATTGTTCTTTATAAATTTCTTGATGAGGTTGTAAAACATTCTCGACATTCTGTTTCATTTTGATGCTTAATTCCATTGATGGGTCGTAGTTGTAAATCATATGTTTAATTTTTGGTACACTTGTCTCATGACCTCAAGCCATACACTTAACACCTTCATCTTCTTCATACCTTTATCATGTATCAGATGTGTAACTTTAGCACTGTGTGGTGTACTATTAGCAACACTACTTATTTCCTTGACTTTCATCTTTATGAAACCAGCAGTTGACTCATTAACTTCAAAAGCACGGCCAACAACTGACGCACGCATGTCTCTATCAAGTTCACTGTTCTTGCACCAGATGAACTACCACCAGTTAATGGCCTCTTGGGTGCCATGACTGTTATATTTAACGCTAAAATTGATCTCAGACGAGATTGGTGACAGAGAACAGCCGCGTGGGATGCAGCATGATGTCATGACATCGCATCGTGGTGGATACCCACTGTTTTTAAATTTAGCACCTTTCCATTTCATGTTATTTTAGTAGTTAACCTCCGAGACCATTTCACAGATGGTCGAATTCGCGAGAGTTGAACTCGCACATGTTGAGGTACTGGTGAAAAGTACAGTGGTCCCTCGGTTAACGAAATTTCGGTTAACGAATTACCTTCCATAAGAATCTTCATTTTGGTTAACGAAATTCTTACGAAAATGTTTCGACATGCTTTGGCTTGCTCACCAGCTGGAAGATTAGTCCGCCAATACAGAAATTGGTTCTAGGGCTTACAATCGTTAAAATTGGAGTAAATATCAAAAAGGTTGTACTATTCAATAATTTTCCAAGTTTTATATTATATTTAAATTTTTTGGTGTGCCCATCAGCCACTTCACTCACCCACCAAGGCCTCAGTTTGTATCTCTGGTCAGTGTAGGAAACATCTTGCTTGTGGGTCTCTTGAACACAGAGTATTTTTAAATTTTTACAGTACAATTATTGGTCATTCTGAAATGTATTTAACATATTGACAATATATAGCACAGTGCAGTGTTGATTTAAAGAAAATAATCTTGAATTACACCAAGCGAACTTAAAAGTTTATGGGTGAAATGACGGCATCAAGCTTGGGTCCCCTGGAAGGTGATTTCTACTCCATCCTCACTTCCTTCTCTTCTCCCTTCTCCTCCACCCCCACTTCTAATTCCCATCATCATCATAATCAACCAGGAACCTTCTACATGCACACCTCAAAGTAAGTGTACTTTACTGCATTTTTTTTTACTCTGTATGTAATTTTCGGTGAGCTGGAACCAATTACCCAAAATCCCATTGAAACAATGGATTCAGTTAACGAACGACCTTCTGGAACGAATTGTGTTCGTCAACCGAGGGACCACTGTACTGTAGTCTATACAGTAGTATACACATTTTCTTTATTTACAATATATTACATGTGTACAGTGGTGTTTACATAAATTAATACAGCTCTGTGGCTGTCTGTGCGAGATGCGTAGTTTAAATTCAGAAAAAACTTTCGCGAGTACCGGGAAAAATTCCAGAGATATGCGATTTTTTCCAGGGCTGAGAAAATTGGTCTCTATACCCGGAAATCTCTCAATCCCGGAACTGTTCTCTACCAACTATTGGGGCTCATGAGTGTATTAGTGTACTCAGGTGCTAAATTAAAGTAGTTAGGTAGTAGTTATTTTTGTTTATCCACCAATTTCACTTTTTTACGTCGCTGTATAGTCTTAGGGTTTTCTTCTTGTTGGGAACCAAACTCTGTTTTTCCCATTTGTTGTCTTATTTACTATATAATGGTTTTTAAGGAACCTACTTATTTGGATAATGAGGATTACCTGTACGATATAAGTATGGAAATTTTTACAGAAGTTTTCTTCATTGTTATATTTTTTTCAATTACTTTTTTATTAAATAGCTTTGTCATCATCATTTAATGACCTGTTCAATATTTGCTTAGATTAGTCTAATTAAAGAGCACCATGTATTAGTATTAGCTGTAATACACACTAGACTGTATTATATACAGTAGTACAGTACCATGTATTAGTATTAGCTGTAATACACACTAGACTGTATTATATAATACTTGGTCTGTATATGCAAGTTTTGTCTGACTATTTTATGGTGGTTCCAGGACCTTGGAAAAGTATTCAACAAAGGAACGGCAGAACAAAGAAATAGTTGCAAGAAGAAGAAAGCTGAAGCAGAATTTGTTGCTCTCAAGAGTGTGTCTTTAAAGGTGAAAGCTGGAGAAGTGTTTGGTCTTTTGGGTCCAAACGGCGCTGGCAAAACCACTTGTCTGCGAGTCATGACGGCTGAGAAAGAAAAAGTACCTACCTAGTACAGAAGAACCTGTAGGGTACCTGGTGACCCTGTAGTGCTGGAGTACAAGACAGGTGTACCTAGTGCTGGAGTACAGCACAGGTACAGTGTACAGGTACCTGTAGTGCTGGAGTGCACAGTGCAGGTGTACACCTGTAGTGCTGAGTACAGGCACCAGGTGTACCTGCTGGTGCTGGAGTGTACAGTGCAGGTGTACCTGTAGTGCTGGGTACCTGTAGTACAGGTACAGGTATGTACCTATAGTGCTGAATACAGGCCACAGTGTACCTATAGTGCTGGAGTACAGTACAGTGACACCCTGTAGTGCTAATACAATGCTGTAGTGCAGGAAGTACAAGTACAGTGTACACCTGTAGTGCTGGAAGTACAATGTGTACCTGTAGTGCTAGTAAGTATAGTGCTGCAATACAATGGTGCCAGGTATAAAGTGCTGCTGCAGTACAGTGCATAGTATGAGTTACAGTACAGGTATTGCAGTACAGGTATGGTACAATTACGGGTAGGTACGGTACGGGTATAGTTAACGCGGTACAGTACGGGTATGATTCTTTGAATTGCAGTACGGGTATAATTAACAGTACAGTGCAGGTATAGTGCGGTACTTACCCAGGTATGCAGTACAGTACAGGTATGTGCTGCAGTACAGTACGGGTATAGTTAACAGGTAGTGCTGGTATAATTAACAGTACGGTACCCAGGTATAGTGCTGCAGTACAGTACAGACATAGTGCTGGGTGCAGTACGGGTATAGGTGCTGCAGTACACCCGGTATATGCTGCTGCAGTATAGTGCAGGTACAGTGCTGCGGGTATGAGTATAGTGCTGTGAACAGTACAGAACAATTGCAGGTATGATTAACAGTACAGGTATAGTGCTGCAATTACATAGTCTTTGCAGTACAGGTACGGTGCTGGAGTACAGTACAGGCTGGTGTAGTTAACGCTGGTAGTACCCCAGGTATGGTGCTGCGGTACGGTACAGGGTATGAATTAACAGATTGGTATAGTGCCCAGGTATAGTGCTGAATTGCAGTACAGGTATAGTGCTGCAGTACAGTACAGGTATAGTGCTGAACTACGGGTATGGTGCTGCGGTACAGTACGGGTATGGTGCTGGAGTACAGTACAGGTGTACCTGTAGTGCTGGAGTACAGTACCCAGGTATAGTGCTGCAGTACAGTACAGATAGTGCTGTAGTAGTGCTGTGCAGTACAGTACAGGTATGCTAGTGCTGGAGTACAGTACAGATATAGTGCTGCAGTACGGTAGGTGGGTATGGTGGCATAGTGCTGCGGTACGGTACAGGTATGGTGCTGCAGTGTGGTACAGTACGGAATATGGTAGTGCTGGAGTACTGGAGTACAGTACGGGTATAGTGCTGCAGTACAGTACGGGTATAGTGCTGCAATTTGATAGTACAGGTATAGTGCTGCAGTACAATTACAGTACAGGTATAGTGCTGCAGGTATAGTGCTGTAGTACAGTACAGGTATAGTGCTGCAGTACAGTACAGGTATGAATGGTACAGTACAGGTATAGTGCTGCAGTACAGTACAGGTATAGTGCTGCACAGTACAGTGGGTATAGTGCTGCAGTACAGTGCAGGTATAGTGTTGGAATACAGTACAGGTATAGTGCTGGAGTACATTACAGGTATAGTGCTGCAGTATAGTACAGGTATAATTAACGCAATACAGTACAGGCCATAGTGCTGCAGTACAGTACAGGTATAGTGCTGCAGTACAATTGCAGATTGCTCAGTGCTGCAGTACAGTACAGGTATAGTGCTGCAGTACAGTACAGGAATGTAGTGCTGGGTAGTACAGTACTGGGTATAGTACTGGTACAATTACAGGTATAGTGCTGCAGTACAGTACAGGTATAGTGCTGCAATTTGGTACAGGTATATTGCTGCAGTACAGTACAGGTATATTGCTGCAATTACAGTACAGGTATAGTGCTGCAGTACAGTACAGGTATAGTGCTGCAGTACAGTACAGGTATAGTGCTGCAGTACAGTGAGTATAGTGCTGCAGTACAGTACAGGTATAGTGCTGCAGTACAGTACAGGTATATTGCTGCAGTACAGTACAGGTATATTGCTGCAGTACAGTACAGATTATATTGCTGCAGTACAGTACAGTATAGTGCTGCAGTACGAAAGTACAGGTATAGTGCTGCAGTACAGTCTAGTATATTGCTGCAGTACAGTACAGGTATAGTGCTGCAGTACAGTACAGGTATAGTGCTGCAGTACAGTACAGGTATGTGCTGCAGTACAGTACAGGTATAGTGCTGCAGTACAGTACAGGTATAGTGCTGCAGTACAATGCGGGTATAGTGCTGCAGTACAGTACAGTATATTGCTGCAGTACATTACAGGTATAGTGCTGCAGTACAGTACAGGTATAGTGCTGCAGTACAGTACAGGTATAGTGCTGCAGTACAGTACAGGTATAGTGCTGCAGTACAGGTTACAGGTATAGTGCTACAGGTATAGTGCTGCAGTACAGTACAGGTATAGTGCTGCAGTACAGTACAGGTATAGTGCTGCAGTACAGTACAGGTATAGTGCTGCAGTACAGTACAGGTATAGTGCTGCAGTACAGTACAGGGTTGTTAAGATGATAATCATTGATAAACCACATACCTGTATAGATAAATGATAAAGTTAGAAAATTATTGAAGTTTTGTCAACAGTAAAAGTTTTAAAGGTGAAAGTGAGATAATAATTAATATTTAAGACCTCTAAATTGGCTATTCCTTTACCGAAGTCATAAAAATGAATCTCACAGAGAAAAGAAAACTTTTTCTCTTGTTTCTCTGTTCTTGGTCAGCGATGTCACTAAGTTCAGTTTTGCATTACACTTGTTCATATTTAGTTTGCCATTATACTGAAACTGTATTTAATATTCCTCAGGTTCAAATATGTGGTGAGGACGTGTCATCCAGCATCTCCAGTGCATTTGCAGCGATGGGTTATTGTCCTCAGCATGACGCACTCTGGAGGAACCTAACTGTGGCCGAGCACATAGAGGTGTTTGCAGAAATTCGAGGAGTTCACAAAGACCAAGTTAAACCGTAAGATGTTAAATAATGTTTTTATTTTACAAGTACAGTAAGACCTCAATAATTTGAGAACTATGAATCTTGAATTTTATTTTGACCTTATCCTAATGATAGCCATGTGGAGTGAACAGTAAGTCCTCGCTTAACGTCGGGGTTACGTTCTTAAAAACGTGACGTTATACGAAACACTGTTAAGCGGATCAATTTTCCCCATAAGAAATAGATAAAATACGGGAGTTACGTTCCCCAGCCTCCCTTTGACCCATGAAATACATTACATATACAGTGGTCCCTCGGTTAACAAACACAATTCGTTAAGCGAAAATTTCGTTAACCGAATCCATTGTTTCAATGGGATATTGGGTAATTGGTTCCAGCTCACAGAAAAGTATATACAAAGTAAAAAAAAATGCAGAAAAGTACACTCACTTTGAGGTGTGTTTGTAGAAGGCTCCTGGTTGATGATGATGATGATAGGCGTGGAAGAGAAATCACCCCATGCTTCATGCCATCATTTCACCCATAAAATTTTAAGTTCACTTGGTGTAATTCAAGATTATTTTCTTTAAATCAACACTGCACTGCGCTATATATTATCGATATGTTAATTAAAGTCAGAATGACTAATAATTTCAATGAAAAATGCAAAAATATTCAAGACACCAACAAAATAGATGTTCACTCCACCGTCAACAGAGCCCAACTGACGCTTGTTGGCTGAGTCAAGCGTCTGATGGGCACACCAAAAATTAGTTCCCTGTACTGCATATATTATCAATATGTTAAATAAATGTTAAAATGACTAATAATTTTAATATAAAAAATGCAAAAATATTAAAGAACACAGCTTTCTTGATATTTACTCCACTGGAAACGAATGTAAACATAGAACAGAGTACAGTCGGCCCTTAACATACGCGGGGGTTACGTAACAGAGATACCCGTGGATGTTAAAAATCCGCATATATGTGCTGCCCCCCCCCCAAAAAAGACCTGGTCCCCCCATGTCCTTATTTACCGCATATACCTGTGTGTAGTTTAAGTTTTTAAGACCAAATTATTTGGCAAAAAATTGGGGGTCGACCTCAAAACGGGTAATAGTTTCGTTAGGTTGAAAAATATTTACCAGTAACTACCAGTAAACAATGGAAACGACGCACCAACGCACCACCAGCTGTGAGTGTTGGTACAGTTGCCAGGGCAGATCTCTTGCGTCATCATAGCAAGCCCAAAGTAGCCAAATCCATGGTATGGTAGCACAGGACAATGTAAAACAAAGTATTCATTTATTAAAGTTTATTTATAGATACTGTACATAAATTTTTGTTCATTACATTTGAAACATCAATCTTTGTCAATTATATTTGAAACAAAAGAAAACTACGATACCGTAATTTCATTAAAATATTACATCACAAGTATATTTTACCTTAACTGTGACTGAATGAATATAGGTATTCTCAGAAATAAATATGGAAATATAATATTTTTGCTGGAATGACGTACTGTACATATTACAGTGGAAAGACGAAAACAATGACTTTCACTTTTTTTCGTTGTTCAAAAGATGTTACCGTAATCGCTTTTCGAATGGTTTTCAGTTAAAAAACTGTTGTACTCGTACTGTATTACAATAATATTCTATCCTATCATTAGCCTTATAATCCCACAACTGAAAACCATTCGAAAAGCGATTACGGTGACATCTTTTGAACGAAAGAAAGAGAAAGTCATTGCTTTCGTCACTTTCCACTGTAATACGTACATCATTTCAGCAAAAATATTACATTTCCATGTTCTCAGAAATAAATGGTAGTTTTGTTGAAACGTAATGTACAATATTTATTTTTAAAATGCAAAAATAGCTATAAAAACAATTAATACACCCGTAATGTACTGGCTGGCATCTCCACTCGTCCCTGCTCCCGCGTCCAAGGTCACCACTCCTCCCAACTCGCTCCCTCCGCTCCCTCCTCCACCTCCTCACCGTCACTACTGCCGACAACAAACACAAATGTTTTGTGAATAACTGCACCTCCACTTCCTATGTACAGTACTGAACTGTACTGTGCTGTGCATTTTTACAAACAATAAACATGGTAAGAAAAGCTATTAAAAAAGAAGAGATAAAAATTTCACTTTACTGTTCAGTTCCTATCCTCGGCGTAAAGAAACTTGCCCATAGTTTCACCCTGCCCGGGGATCGAACCCGGGTCCACTCACTTGCAAGGGGAGCAAGCTGACCATTACACCACAGGTTGCACTGTTAAACTCAGATAAGGTGTTGTGTGTGAGTTACCCAGTAGCTTACTTCATACCACCTTTAGTGATTATGTAACAACATCAAGGTCTAAAACTTAAAACATCATAAACAACTTAACAGATGATTGCTTTTAATTTTGAATTGTTAAATGAGAAGTTTTATGTAATAATATAGGCCATAATACTCTGGAAAAAACTTAAGTGTCCGTAGCTGGCAAGATTATCGGCCGAGTCCTCCTTAACAGACTTCTTCCTGAGGCAGAAAACTTCCTCCCAGAATCTCAATGTGGCTTTAGACCACATGGCACCCCTGACATGATCTTTGCTGCCCGCTAGATACAGAAAAAGTGCAGAAAACAGCCTCATGACCCGTACATGGCTTTCATCGACCTATTCAAGGCCTTAGACTCGGTCAACAAGGAAGCCCACTGGTGGACCCTCAGCCGTTTTGGCTGCCCACCAAAATTCATCGCCATTGTGAAGCAACTCCATGATGGCATGAACGGCAGTGTCCTGCACAGTGGCACCCAGTCCGGGTTCTTCCCCATCCAAACAGGGGTTAAACAAGGGTGTGTACTGGCACCAACTCTCTTTTTCATCATCTTGGCTGCCTTCCTTACTCATGCCAGTGCCAATTTAGCCAGCGGGGTGAACATCCAGTACCGGGTTAAGGGTCTTTTCAACATAAGACTACTCCAGGCAAGAACAAAGGTGTCGGCAGCTTCCATTACTGAACTTCAGTATGCAGACGACCTCATCCTTGTTGTTCACACTGAACACAACCTACAGGAGATCCTGAACACCTATACACTTATGCGTATGCACACTTCGGCCTTGAGGTGAATGTACATAAGACTCAGACTCTCTTTCAACCTGCCCCTGGTTCAGCCACACCTCCACCATCCAACCAGCTTAACGGCACTACCCTCTCTAATGTTGCCCACTTTCAGTATCTCGGCTCCCACCTGTCCACCACCACGGACATCGAGGAAGAGATTCAACATCGTATCAGATGTGCATCTCAAGTCTTTGGCAGACTCCGTACCCGTGTCTTCAGCTGTAGGGAGCTGGAATTATCTACAAAGCTGCACACATATCGAGCAGTGGTCCTCCCTATCCTGCTATACGGCAGTGAGACATGGGTCACATACAGGAGGCACCTCAAGTCACTTGAAAACTTTCACCAACAAAGTCTATGTTCCATCCTCTGAGTTCGTTGAGAAGACAAGAGAACAAATGCCAGTATTCTTGCTGTCACCAACTGTGGGAGCATCGAGGCTACCATTAACCAAGAACAACTATGCTGGACTGGCCATGTTACCCACATGGACGACAGTAGACTTACAAAGCAGCAAATTTACAGTTACCTAACGAATAGTAACGTAACTCTGACGGGCAACTGAAAGGTACAAGGATAGTCTTAAGACAAACCTGAAAAAGTTCCAAATCAACTCCCTCACCTGGGAGATGATTACTCCACATCGTAACGCTTGGAGGAGCACCACACAAAATGGTGTCAATACTTTTGAGTTAGCCCGATTGTTAACTGAGACAGACAAGTTCCAAACACTGGAAAGACGCTGCCGCCGCCCCTCCCGCACTAGGTGTAGCCCTCCACATGTGCAACATCTGTGAACGACTCTGCCGGTCCCGTATCGGCCTCTTTAGTCACCTTAAAATTCCCCAACGCAGATGGCATCCTTAATAACTCATAAGCATTGTATCAAAGCTGGATGATCATCATACTCGATTCCGAGTGACATCAAAGTAGTAGTAGTAGTACAGCCAGTCAGTCTTACTTTAAGCACTGAGATTGGGGACTATAGAAGTGTACAGCCAGTCAGTCTTACTTTAAGCACTGAGATTGGGGACTATAGAAGTGTACAGCCAGTCAGTCTTACTTTAAGCACTGAGATTGGGGACTATAGAAGTGTACAGCCAGTCAGTCTTACTTTAAGCACTCAGATTGGGGACTATGAAGTGTACAGCCAGTCGAATATACTTTTAAGCACTTGAGATTGGGGACTATAAGTGTACAGCCAGTCAGTCTTACTTTAGCACTGAAAAGTTGGGGACTCTAGAAGTGTGGCCACAGCCAGTCAGTCTTACTTTAAGCACTCAGATTGGGACTATAAGTGTACAGCCAGTCAGTCTTACTTTAAGCACTGAGATTGGGGGACTATAGAAGTGTACAGCCAGTCAGTCTTACTTTAAGCACTGAGATTGGGGACTATAGAAGTGTACAGCCAGTCAGTCTTACTTTAAGCACTCAGATTGGGGACTATAGAAGTGTACAGCCAGTCAGTCTTACTTTAAGCACTGAGATTGGGGACTATAGAAGTGTACAGCCAGTCAGTCTTAGATTGGGGACTATAGAAGTGTACAGCCAGTCAGTCTTACTTTAAGCACTGAGATTGGGGACTATAGAAGTGTACAGCCAGTCAGTCTTACTTTAAGCACTCAGATTGGGGACTATAGAAGTGTACAGCCAGTCAGTCTTACTTTAAGCACTGAGATTGGGGACTATAGAAGTGTACAGCCAGTCAGTCTTACTTTAAGCACTCAGATTGGGGACTATAGAAGTGTACAGCCAGTCAGTCTTACTTTAAGCACTCAGATTGGGGACTATAGAAGTGTACAGCCAGTCAGTCTTACTTTAAGCACTGAGATTGGGGACTATAGAAGTGTACAGCCAGTCAGTCTTACTTTAAGCACTCAGATTGGGGACTATAGAAGTGTACAGCCAGTCAGTCTTACTTTAAGCACTCAGATTGGGGACTATAGAAGTGTACAGCCAGTCAGTCTTACTTTAAGCACTGAGATTGGGGACTATAGAAGTGTACAGCCAGTCAGTCTTACTTTAAGCACTCAGATTGGGGACTATAGAAGTGTACAGCCAGTCAGTCTTACTTTAAGCACTCAGATTGGGGACTATAGAAGTGTACAGCCAGTCAGTCTTACTTTAAGCACTCAGATTGGGGACTATAGAAGTGTACAGCCAGTCAGTCTTACTTTAAGCACTGAGATTGGGGACTATAGAAGTGTACAGCCAGTCAGTCTTAGCTTCAGTCTTACTTTAAGCACTCAGATTGGGGACTATAGAAGTGTACAGCCAGTCAGTCTTACTTTAAGCACTCAGATTGGGGACTATAGAAGTGTACAGCCAGTCAGTCTTACTTTAAGCACTCAGATTGGGGACTATAGAAGTGTACAGCCAGTCAGTCTTACTTTAAGCACTCGGTTAGATGCAAAGATATAATACTTTAATAATTTACAGGTTGATTGACACTTACCTGCAGGGCCTTGAGATAGAGGAACACAGAAAGAAAATGGTCAAGGCTTGTTCAGGTGGAACAAAGCGCAAGTTAAGTTACATCCTCAGTATGTTGGGTAAGTTGTATGCTCAGTATGTTGGGTAAGTTGTATGCTCAGTATGTTGGGTAAGTTGTATGCTCAGTATGTTGGGTAAGTTGTATGCTCAGTATGTTGGGTAAGTTGTATGCTCAGTATGTTGGGTAAGTTGTATGCTCAGTATGTTGGGTAAGTTGTATGCTCAGTATGTTGGGTAAGTTATGTCTCACAAAAGTAATGCAATACCTACATATAATTGTTTTTTATAGAAACTACAAGATTATAAAGTAGCTTAAGTTATTATGCCCCCTAGTAACCCAGACGAGTTAACAAAAGAACATTTGAACAACCAGGTCGAGTTATGAAGGTTGTAAGTCATAAACTTTATTTTGGTCATAATGTTGAAAATCTATCTCTTAAACTATGATTTGTTTATTTACCAAAAGTTAATAGTAAACTACCTCATAGTAAATTAGTAAAATAACTTGATATAAATAATTATAACTTTAGTTCAGGAGAAAACCATAAGAATATATCATATGACAATTTGGATAAGTGCAGTTGACAATTATGCAATAATAGTTCAGACATGGAAGGTGTTCCAACTTACTGATGAAAAATCCTGTACAGTATAGTCTCGGTTTACGCGGTCAATTAAACCCGTGGAGGTCCGCGTAAAACGAGAAACGCGTAAACGAAATAACAGAACATATGGGATTAATTGAAATAGAGACTGGGCCGACCCCCAGACTACCCTTTTTCCTACACAATACGTACGTTGTAGTAAAAATAACATCTTAATTTTATGATGGTATGCACACACAATTAATATTTAAGAGAAATATCAATAATATTAGGTTTTTTAACACTTACGTTAGTAGAAGAGATGGCTGGGCACACGGGGATGGGGGGTTGGTTCTGAGGCAGAGGGCAGATTATTGGCCCTCACCTGTATCACTTGTATCACCTGTATCACTATCCACCACAGAGGCTTGCAGGGCCTCTTTGTCAAACCCCTCAAAGTCCATATCCTCACTGTCACTGACTTGGGCTGGCTTTGGTGGGTGGCGGGTGAAGAACTCGGTAATGCTTTGTTGACTGGGCGACCTAGTGAGCACCCTGCCCTCGTCGCTTCCCGCGTAAATGATGGAACGTACCGTGTCACTAATAATTGCCGGTCTGGCCAGGTGCCGCGTAAATGACCAAACGCGTAAAGGAAATCCGCGTAAATCAAGACTATACAGTACTGTAATTGAGAATGCACGTTTCTTGAGGAGCTCACTCATTGAATCTGGTTGTAGACGGTACAGCAAAATATTCAGTTTAGGGTTTTGATTATTTTTTTTAATATTATAGCATGTAAAACCACAGGAGATCAATACTGTACAGTGTCTATGTGGTGCTGGGACCATCTTGAAGTCTGAAGTAGCTGCCACAATAATAAAGACCTGTCACAAGCCATATATTTACTAAAATATAAAATACGTTTATCAGATCATTTTTTAAAAAAGTTGGAATATTTATAAGTGAGCAACACCTGACAGAGTGGGAGAGCGCCTGTCTTCTCTTGCACTACCATGGGAGGTGAGATATATATTCACTGAAAAAATAGAAGCTCAAGTTTTGGCAAAGAATCCTGACCAACATCAGTCATGTGAGTTAGTTTCTACAATCTTCCTCAGTGCAGCTGGATGTGGCAGTTAACCTGCAAACATGCACTAAATGTTCCATATAAACTACAGGAAAATTGGTCCTCAGCAGCGTTAACACGAGCAAAAGAAATCTGAAAGAGCCCAAGAACTCCAAGAGACAGAAGCACCAGATGAGCCCTTCTCTGAAGAAGCTAGAAATAGGATTTCATGATATGGTCACAGATTTTGCCATTTTATCTCCTGAAGGCAAATTCACAATACTGGATCGGGTGAAAAAGATGTTTGGACTAAAGCTAAACTTCAACTAAAACCTGAAAATGTCAGCTGAGTTTCTAACAAAACAGTGAAGACTTAAGAAACACTCTGAACTCTGATGGTGGTTAAGATATTGACGAAAAGTACTTTGCATAAGAAATTCTAAATTTGCCATGACAGAACACAATAGAATTGGCAGTGATGGACTGTACTTTGTTTTATTCATAAGAAACAACTGAAAGAACAGTTTCACATTCATTTGGTTGCTGTCGCTCTCCCAGTAACAGGGAAGAGCTTCTCAAGTTTGAAGCTCACCAAAACACACCTGAGATCATTAATGGTTCTGCCATAATGGCCATTAAACATGGTCTGATGTGACAGCTGTTATATGATGACAACTGATAAGGTGATATAAGTTTATTGTTGTTGGTTATCACACAATTGTTTATCGTTGTTGTTGGCTATCTTAGAACTACATAAACCAAGATATGACATGAAAGAGAGAGAAGAGATGGCATAATTAGGAGTCCCTTGGCTCAGGCATGATGGGGACCTATGAAAAGTATTAGCCAAAGGCCCCCAAATGGTACAGCTGGCCCTGACTGGCTGGACATTCAGGTAACCTTGGCATGTGGGTATAATTGGAAATCTTAGCATGCAGTGGTCATACAGGGCTAGAAATACTGGTGGTATGTGAAGTAAAAACTGGTGAGTTAACTAGATGGAGACTTGAAATGGAAGGGAACACCAGAGCAAAACACACACTGCTGAGGAGGCTCATGAATAAGGGAGTGTCCATGTTGCTGTTGATTTCACCATCTTGTTTTCATTTGCTTTCTTCCTTAATAAAATAGAACTTGTAAGAATGAAAAGAAAAAAACATTTGCATATCAAGGAAAACTACCATAGTCCCTGAGGAAGTTAGGGAATTTAAAGAAAGTCTGAAGTTGTTTTGTTCTGGTTGTTAGTGAAGTTGTTACTGAGTTAAGGACAGACACTGTATACTGAGTTAAGGACAGACACTGTATACTGAGTTAAGGACAGACACTGTATACTGAGTTAAGGACAGACACTGTATACTGAGTTAAGGACAGACACTGTATACTGAGTTAAGGACAGACACTGTATACTGAGTTAAGGACAGACACTGTATACTGAGTTAAGGACAGACACTGTATACTGAGTTAAGGACAGACACTGTATACTGAGTTAAGGACAGACACTACTGAGTATATACTGAGTTAAGGACAGACACTGTATACTGAGTTAAGGACAGACACTGTATACTGAGTTAAGGACAGACACTGTATACTGAGTTAAGGACAGACACTGTATACTGAGTTAAGGACAGACACTGTATACTGAGTTAAGGACAGACACTGTATACTGGCACTAGCGTAGCTAGGGGGGGGCGGTCAGCCCCGGGCAGCACTTTTGGGGGGCGGCACTTTTGGGTCTGCTCATCACCCATATCTGCAGCTACTGGAGACGTTAATCCATCCCTTTGTATCGGCGGCAAGTTAATCCTTGTCGTGTCTGACCTATCACCTGACCCACATCATCACGGCCACGTCATGAGCTACACCCTTGCTATGCGCCCCCCCCCCGCCCCCGCCACACACACAACCTGTAACCTGTTGAGGATTAAGGAAACAACTTCAAACAAGTACGCCAGTGAGCTCATGTGGTGTGGGTCAGGTGTTAGGTCAGACACGACGAGGATTAACTTGCCGCCGATACAAAGGGAAGGATTAACGTCTCCAGTAGCTGCAAAACCATGCAGTCTCGGGTCATATCAGTTCATGTACAGCCGACCAATCCACCAGTTACAAGCAATTCACTTCAGTTCTGCACAAGTCTCCATCGTGACAAGACGAGGGGAGGCTATATTTGAGTATGTTTAAGTAAAGTTGTAGTTTTCATTTCAGAAATAAAGATGGTCCTAATTTTTTACACTTTTTTACTTTTTTCCCTATCCTATATGTCGTTCTTGCTTTTTGTTTAACTGTTACTTATAAAGTTTAAGTATGTTTGGTGTGTATTTAAAGCATACTATATTTGAGCATGTGAAAGTACGGTAATATTATAATGGTACACAAACTATTTAATATATATATATATATATATAAGAGTGAGTCACTGTGCAATATGTATTTTTTGTGGGGGCACGGGGGGGGGCAAACTCAAGGGCCGCCCCGGGCGGCACACACTCTAGCTACGCCACTGTATACTGAGTTAAAGACAGACACTGTATTTTGTAATTAACTCTGAGGATATTGCAAAGATGGAAATCCTCTATTACAAAGGAAGTAAATTCAGTTTTAGTTTAGAAAATAGTTGTTATGCATTAGTACCGTAGAACGTCGATATAACACGAGATACGTCCCAAGAGAGGTCGCTTTAATCCGAATTCGCACTAAATAGAAGTGTTGTTTCAATGGAATAATTTAGTTTGGTACCTGAGAGAAACACAAAATACACCTAGACCCCGACTTACGACTATATGGACTTACGTCCATTGGTACTTACGACCTGCTTTGACCGTACGTTCATACGGGACATACGACTGCGACCGCCGTGACCAAAAAATTTTTCAAATGAAGCGCGCATTTTCTATACCGAAACGTTTCCGTCCCGGGCGAGAGGGAAGGATGGCTTGGGTCGCCTCGTGGCTACACTCACTCAGTGGAGCGCTTTGTTTGTGTTTGGCTATCGTATCCTATACTGATCGCGCTGTGAACTTTCGTTATTATTGTATTTAATTGACTTTATAATGACTGGAAAGCGTAAAAGTGAGAGTGCTGGTGGTGTTCCAAGGAAAAGGAGACAGGCAATTACTTTTGAGATGAAACTGAAGATAATAACACAGTATGAGAATGGAAAAACAGTAGCAACAATCTCACGCGACCTAGGTTTCTCACACTCGACTATATCCACTATTCTGAAGGACAAGGAACGTATTCGTGAAGTTGTGAAAGGAACAACACCTATAAAGGGAACTATAATAACAAAGAAAAGACAAGGTCCTATCCACGATATGGAAAAATTATTGGTGATATGGATAGAAGACCAGATGCAGAAGCGTGTACCCTTAAGTGTTCTAACCATACAGGCTAAAGCAAGAAGCCTGTTCCAAAGCCTGAAGGAGCAGGCAGGAGATGAATGTGATCAAACCTTTACAGGAAGTCAAGGGTGGTTTGATAGATTTAAAAAACGCTACAGTCTACACAGTGTTAAGGTGAGTGGAGAGGCAGCTAGTGCCGATGTTGGTGCTGCCGAAGCTTTTAAGGAGGAGTTAGATGATGTGATTGTGGAAGGGAATTATTTGCCAGAGCAAATATTCAATGTGGATGAGACTGGATTATTGTGGAAACGCATGCCTGACCGGACATACATCCACAAAGAGGCAAAAAAAATGCCCGGATTCAAGGCATTCAATGACAGAATTACACTTCTGATGGGGGAGAATGTTGCTGGTTTCAAGCTAAAGCCCTTCATGATCTATCATTCAGAGAACCCCAGGGCTTTTAAACATGTCAGCAAGCACACACTGCCAGTGTGTTATCGCAGTAACAAGAAAGCCTGGATGACCCTAGTACTATTTGAGGATTGGTTCATGACTTGTTTCATTCCACGAGCCAAGGAGTATTGTCTGCAACAACAGATTCCATTCAAGATTTTACTGATTTTGGATAATGCTCCAGGACACCCACCACACCTAGACGACATGCACCCTGATGTTAAGGTAGTGTACATTCCACCTAACACTACCTCTGTCATCCAACCCATGGATCAAGGTGCTATTTCTGCCTTTAAAGCGTATTATTTACGCACGACCTTCGCTCAGGCTGTTGCTGCTACTGAAGGTGAGAAAACGCTCAGACAGTTTTGGAAGGAGTACAACATTTTGTCATGTATAAAGAACATTAGTGCAGCATGGGATCAGGTTACAAAACATTGCATGAATGGAATATGGAAGAAAATCCTGAAAAGATATGTGAACAGTTTCAAAGGATTTAATGAAAGTGAAGTTATTTTGGATATTAGTAACAAGATAGTGGAGTTAGGTAAACAGCTGGAGTTAGAAATTGATACTGAAGATGTTGGACAGTTGGTTGAAAGTGTAGCAGAAGAGCTCAGTAACGAGGATCTTATTGAACTAGATGCACAGAAAGTTGCAGAGGAAGAAGAGAGACAAAATGTAGAAGAAGAGCCTGCACCCCCCAAAAAGTTTTCAGTGAAACATATGGCAGAGGCATTTGCTACAATTAATAAAGCAATGCAAATGTTTGATGACATGGATCAAAATTATGAGCGTTATGCCAAAGTTGACAGAATGATCCAAGATGCACTTGCTTGCTACAGAGAAATTTATAATGAAAAGAAAAAGCAAACTGTGCAGTCTAAATTGGACATCTATTTCAAGAAGTCCCCCAGTGCTGTCTCCTCACACCCTACCAGTGCTGCCTCTTCACTCCCTCAAGATGATCCAATACCTTCAACCAGCAAGTTACCACAGTACATAAACCTGTCTGAAGGAAGTGACATTGATGACCCACCCAGCCCTGTCTCCTCTTCTGCTTCTTCCATTTAATATAGTCTCCATGTATCCTGTAAATAGAAAATTATGGGGGCTCTGTGTGCATTCAGCTGACTACATTTAAGGTAAGTGCTCAGTCACACTGTATCCATTCCTCATTATTTTTTACGTTTAGTGTACTGTATTTCATTGTAGATTTTTAAAAAAATTTTGAAAAAAAAAAATTTTTGAATTTTTTTTTTTGAAATTTTTTTATTTTTATTTATTTTTTTATCTATATCGGACTTACGACCTGGATTTGGGTCCCTAACCCCGTCGTAAGTCGGGGTCTAGGTGTACTAAAAAGGTTGAGAGTCTACTCAGATGCACCTCAGCCCATCTCCTAGAATAAACAAAACATTGTTTTTTGTAGTACAGTATTATGTTAAATCAAACACTGATAAATCAACACAGCTAAAATTATTGGACACGAAATGGTCTGTTTTCTAGCGATCAGCTGATGGGAAGGGGGGGGGGGAGGTGAGGTGAGGTGATATGTTTGACAGTTGATGCCAAGGTCTAGTGCTTATTTATTTATCTGTACTTAAGAGTGACTTTAAGTTTTTCTCTTATAAAATGTCACTGAACTGACATGTTCTAATTAATTTTATTACAAAGGGCTAAAATTTTTATCTCTTGTGCAAAATATATGACGTTTACATTCAAATTATTCGCTCTCTTGTAAGTATTCTAGCAATGCAAATAATATTCTCTCTTTGAATATAATCATGCTATAGTTTGCACTAGACTAAAATTTTAGTTATCATTTAGTACATTATTTTGAGTACATGTACGGTACAGCTTTGACCTTAGGGCAGTGTAGCTTGCCCAGAGAAACATTAGGCGCAAATTTTAAAATATGATGTGCCAGATTGACTTGTGCAAAATAGGAAAGATTCGCTTTAAATTAAAACATTATCCTTAATTGTGGGTGTCGCTTTAAATCAATAATCTTAAATTGAATCGCTTTAAATCGACGTTCTACTGTACTGGAAAAAATCTTGGACTATTTGTAAAAAGAATCCCAAAACGTTTACAGTGGAGGACTGTGGTCACCAACCCCCAGATAGATTGATTGATTGAGTCCTGGAACATAATGATAAACTCTCTTGGTAAAGCACTTTATTTACTTGCAGGTTGTCCACAAGTGGTGCTCTTGGATGAACCATCTACTGGAATGGACCCACAGTCTAAACGCTTTTTATGGAACTCAATTCTGGCATCTTTTAAGGTGGGTATGGTAGTGTCCCCTTAATGTGAGATATTATTGGTTATTGTAAATCAGTTAATTTAAGTAATAGACTTTTCTATTGATAAAGAAAGTGAAAAAGTGAAAGTTGGTCCTGAAGGTACACAAGGAGGGAACATGGCTAGTACTGTACCTCACTTCACACAAGGAGGGAACATGGCTAGTACTGTACCTCACTTCGCACAAGGAGGGAACATGGCTACTACTGTACCTCACTTCACACAAGGAGGGAACATGGCTAGTACTGTACCTCACTTCACACAAGGAGGGAACATGGCTAGTACTGTACCTCACTTCACACAAGGAGGGAACATGGCTAGTACTGCACCTCACTTCACACAAGGAGGGAACATGGCTAGTACTGTACCTCACTTCACACAAGGAGGGAACATGGCTAGTACTGCACCTCACTTCACACAAGGAGGGAACATGGCTAGTACTGCACCTCACTTCGCACAAGGAGGGAACATGGCTAGTACTGTACCTCACTTCACACAAGGAGGGAACATGGCTAGTACTGCACCTCACTTCACACAAGGAGGGAACATGGCTAGTACTGTACCTCACTTCACACAAGGAGGGAACATGGCTAGTACTGTACCTCACTTCACACAAGGAGGGAACATGGCTAGTACTGCACCTCACTTCACACAAGGAGGAACATGGCTGATACTGTGCCTCACTTCACACAAGGAGGGAACATGGCTAGTGCTGTGCCTCCACTTCACACAAGGGAGGAACATGGCTAGTACTGCCTCCTTCACTGGAGGAACATGGCTGAGTACTGCACCTCACTTCACACAGGAGGGAACATGGTAGTACTGCCTCACTTCACAGGAGGCATGGCTGGTCTGCTGCCTTCTGGGGAGGGGCTGTGTGCACCTCACTTCACACAAGGAGGGAACATGGCTAGTACTGCACCTCACTTCGCACAAGGAGGGAACATGGCTAGTACTGCACCTCATTTCACAGGGAGGAACATGCTAGTACTGCACCTCACTTCACACGGAGGGACATGGCTGATGCTGCACCTCACTTCACACAAGGAGGAACAGGCTCAGTACTGTGCCTCACTTCACACAAGGAGGAACATGGCTAGTACTGCACCTCACTTCACAAGGGAGGAACATACTAATACTGTACCTCACTTCACTCAGGAGGAACATGGCTGTCCTCCGGAGGATGCTGTACCTCACTTCACACAGGAGGGAACATGGCTATGGGCTGGAGTGCTGCCTCACTTCACACAAGGAGGAACATGGCTAGTGCTGACCTCACTTGGGTGGTAGTACTGCACCTCACTTCACTGGGAGGGTGGCTAGTACTGCCTCACTTCACACAAGGAGGAACATGGCTAGTACTGCCTCACTTCACTAGGGGAACATGGCTGTACCTCACTTCACACAAGGAGGAACATGGCTAGTACTGCACCTCCTTCACACAAGGAGGGAATATGGCTAGTACTGTACCTCACTTCACACAGGAGGAACATGGCTAGTACTGCACCTCCCCTCACTTCCTGAGGAGGGAACATGGCTGGTGCTGGCCTCACACTTCACCAGGGAGGAACATGGCTAGTACTGCACCTCACTTCACACAAGGAGGGAACATGGCTAGTACTGTACCTCACTTCACACAAGGAGGGAACATGGCTAGTACTGTACCTCACTTCACACAAGGGAGGAACATGGCTGAGTACTGCACCTCACTTCACAAGGAGGAACATGGCTAGTACTGTGCCTCACTTCACACAAGGGAGGGAACATGGCTAATTGCTACCTCACTTCACACAAGGAGGGAACATGGCTAGTACTGCACTCACTTCACAAGGAGGGCATGGCTAGTGCTGCACCTCACTTCACTGGGAGGGAACATGGCTACTCCTCACTTCCAGGGGAGGGAACATGGCTAGTGCTGTGCCTCACTTCACACAAGGAGGGAACATGGCTAGTACTGCACCTCACTTCACACAAGGAGGGAACATGGTGTGCACCTCACTTCACTGGGGAGGAACATGGCTAGTACTGTCCTCACTTCACTAGGAGGAACATGGCTAGTACTGCCTCCCTCACAAGGAGGGCATGGCTAGTACTGCCTCACTTCACAAGGAGGGAACATGGCTAGTACTGTACCTCACTTCACCAAGGAGGGGAACATGGCTGAGTACTGTCCTCACTCACACAAGGAGGGATATGGCTAGTACTGCACCTCACTTCACACAAGGAGGAACATGGCTGGTACTGTACCTCACTTCACGGGGAACATGGCTAGTGCTGTGCCTCACTTCACACAAGGAGGGAACATGGTTGCCTCAGCTAGTACTGTCACTTCACACAAGGAGGGAACATGGCTGGTACTGCACCTCACTTCCTGGGAGGGAACATGTGTGCTGACCTCTTCACACAGGAGGGACATGGCTAACTGTGCCTCACTTCACACAAGGAGGGAAATGGCTAGTACTGCACCTCACTTCACATAAGGAGGGAACATGGCTAGTGCTGCACCTCACTTCACACAAGGGGGAACATGGCTAGTACTGCACCTCACTTCACAGGGGGAACATGGCTAGTACTGCACCTCACTTCACACAAGGGAGGGAACATGGCTAGTACTGTCCTCACTTCCTCCCTTCACAAGGAGAACATGGCTAGTACTGCACCTCACCGCACAAGGAGGAACATGGCTAGTGCTGCCTCACTTCACACAGGAGGAACATGGCTAGTACTGCCACTTCCTGAGGAGGAACATGGCTGGTGCTGCACCTCACTTCACACAAGGAGGAACATGTGGTACTGCACCTCACTTCACAAGGAGGGAACATGGCTAGTGCCTCACTTCACACAAGGAGGAACATGGCTAGTACTGCACCTCACTTCACACAGGAGACATGGCTAGTACTGTACCTCACTTCACACAAGGAGGAACATGGCTAGTCTGTCCTCACTTCAAAGGAGGGAACATGGCTAGTACTGCACCTCACTTCACACAAGGAGGGAACTGGCTAGTACTGCACCTCACTTCACACAAGGAGACATGGCTGGTACTGTGCCTCACTTCACACAAGGGGGAACATGGCTAGTACTGCACCTCACTTCACACAAGGAGGAACATGGTGCTGCCTCACTTCACTGAGGAGGGGCTGGTACTGTACCTCACTTCACCAGGGAGGAACATGGCTGGTGCTGCCTCACTTCACACAAGGAGGGAACATGGCTAGTGCACCTCACTTCACCGGGAGGAACATGGCTGATGCTGTACCTCACTTCACACAAGGAGGGAACATGGCTAGTACTGCACCTCACTTCACACAAGAGGGAACATGGCTAGTACTGTGCCTCACTTCACACAAGGAGGGAACATGGCTAGTACTGTACCTACTTCACTAAGGAGGGAACATGGCTAGTACTGCACCTCACTTCACACAAGGAGGAACATGGCTAGTACTGCACCTCACTTCACACAAGGAGGGAACATGGCTAGTACTGCACCTCACTTCACACAAGGAGGGAAATGGCTAGTACTGTCCTCCCTTCACACAAGGAGGAACATGGCTAGTACTGCACCTCACTTAGCACAAGGAGAACATGGCTAGTACTGTGCCTCACTTCACACAAGGGAGGAACATGGCTGATGCTGTACCTCACTTCACACAAGGAGGAACATGGCTGTGCTGCCTCACTTCACTGGGAGGAACATGGCTAGTGCACCTCACTCACGGAGGGACATGGCTAGTACTGCCTCACTTCACACAAGGAGGGTGGCTAGTACTGCACCTCCCGGAGGAACATGGCTAGTACTGTACCTCACTTCACAGGGGGAATGGCTGGTACTGTACCTCACTTCACACAAGGAGGGAACATGGCTAGTACTGCACCTCACTTCACACAAGGAGGGAATGGCTAGTACTGCACCTCACTTCACACAAGGAGACATGGCTAGTCCCTCACTTCACAGGAGAACATGGCTAGTACTGCACCTCACTTCACACAAGGAGGGAACATGGCTAGTTGCACCTCACTTCACACAGGAGGGTGTACTGTCCTCACTTCACACAAGGAGGGAACATGGCTAGTACTGCACCTCACTTCACACAAGGAGGGAACATGGCTAGTGCTGCACCTCACTTCACACAAGGAGGGAACATGGCTAGTACTGTACCTCACTTCACAGGGAGAACATGGCTAGTGCTGCACCTCACTTCACAAGGAGGAACATGGCTAGTACTGCACCTCACTTCACACAAGGAGGGAACATGGCTAGTACTGTACCTCACTTCACAAGGAGGGCATGGCTAGTACTGCACCTCACTTCACACAAGGAGGAACATGGCTAGTACTGCACCTCACTTCACACAAGGAGGATGGTAGTGCACCTCACTTCACACAAGGAGGAACAGGAGGAACATGGTTGCCTCACTCACAGGAGGAACATGGCTAGTGCTGCCTCACTTCACAAGGAGGGAACATGGCTAGTACTGCACTCACTTCACACAAGGAGGGACATGGCTAGTGCTGCACCTCACTTCCAAGGAGGGAACATGCTAGTACTGCACCTCACTTCACAGGGAACATGGCTAGTCTGCCTATGGCTAGTGCTGTACCTCACTTCACACAAGGAGGAACATGGCTAGTACTGCACCTCACTTCACACAAGGAGGAACATGGCTAGTACTGTACCTCACTTCACCGAGGAACATGGCTAGTACTGCACCTCCCCACAAGGAGGAACATGGCTAGTACTGCACCTCACTTCACACAAGGAGGAACATGGCTAGTACTGCACCTCACTTCCAGGGAGGAACATGGCTAGTACTGCACCTCACTTCACACACAAGGAGAACATGGCTAGTACTGCACCTCACTTGCCCAAGGAGAACATGGCTAGTACTGCACCTCACTTCACACAAGGAGGAACATGGAGGAACATAGTACCTCACTTCAGGAGAACATGGCTAGTACTGTGCCTCACTTCACAAGGAGGGAACATGGCTAGTACTGCACCTCACTTCACAAGGGAACATGGCTAGTGCCTACTTCACACAAGGAGGGGAACATGGCTAGTACTGCACCTCACTTCACACAAGGAGGGAACATGGCTAGTACTACCTCACTTCACACAAGGAGGAACATGGCTAGTACTGCACCTCACTTCACAAGGAGGAACATGGCTAGTACTGCACCTCACTTCACTGGGAGGAACATGGCTAGTACTGTGCCTCTGCACTTCACACAAGGAGGAACATGGTTAGTACTGCACCTCACTTCACACAAGGAGGGAACATGGCTAGTACTGCCTCCGGAGGAACATGGCTAGTGCACCTCACTTCACACAAGGAGGAACATGGCTGTACTGCACCTCACTTCACACAGGAGGAATGGCTAGTACTGCACCTCACTTCACACAAGGAGGAACATGGCTAGTACTGCACCTCACTTCACACAAGGAGAACATGGTACTGCCTCACTTCACACAAGGAGAACATGGCTAGTACTGCACCTCACTTCACACAAGGAGGGAACATGGCTAGTCTGCACCTCCACTTCACCAAGGAGGGAATGGCTAGTACTGCCTCACTTCACACAAGGAACATGGCTAGTACTGTACCTCACTTCACACAAGGAGGGAACATGGCTAGTACTGCACCTCACTTCACACAAGGAGGGACATGGCTAGTACTGTACCTCACTTCACACAAGGAGGAACATGGCTAGTACTGCACCTCACTTCACACAAGGAGGGAACATGGTCCTCCAAGGAGGAACATGGCTAGTACTGCACCTCACTTCACACAAGGAGGGAACATGGCTAGTACTGTACCTCACTTCACACAGGAGGGACATGGCTAGTACTGCACCTCACCACACAAGGAGGGAACATGGCTAGTACTGTACCTCACTTCACACAAGGAGGGGAACATGGCTAGTACTGCACCTCACTTCACACAAGGAGGAACATGGTTGCTCTCGGAGGGAACATGGCTAGTACTGCACCTCACTTCACACAAGGAGGAACATGTGAGTACTGCCTCACTTCACAGGAGGAACATGGCTGTGCTGCCTCACTTCACACAAGGAGGGCATGGCTGTCTGCCTCACTTCACTGGCAAGGGGAACATGGCTAGTACTGTACTCACTTCACACAAGGAGGGAACATGGCTAGTACTGTACCTCACTTCACAAGGGGAACATGTAGTACCACCTCACTTCACACAAGGAGAACATGGCTAGTGCTGCTCACTTCACACAAGGAGGGAACATGGCTAGTACTGCACCTCACTTCACACAAGGAGGGAACATGGCTAGTACTGCACCTCACTTCACACAAGGAGGAACATGGCTAGTACTGCACCTCACTTCACACAAGGAGGAACATGGCTAGTACTGCACCTCACTTCACACAAGGAGGAACATGGCTGTACGTACTTCACTTCAAGGAGGAACATGGCTAGTACTGTACCTCACTTCACAAGGAGGAACATGGCTAGTACTGCACCTCACTTCACACAAAGGAGGGACATGGCTAGTACTGCACCTCACTTCACACAAGGAGGGAACATGGCTAGTACTGCACCTCACTTCACGGAGGGAACATGGCTAGTACTGCACCTCACTTCACACAAGGAGGGAACATGGCTAGTACTGCACCTCACTTCACACAAGGAGGGAACATGGCTAGTACTGCACCTCACTTCACACAAGGAGGGAACATGGCTAGTACTGCACCTCACTTCACACAAGGAGGGAACATGGCTAGTACTGCACCTCACTTCACACAAGGAGGGAACATGGCTAGTACTGCACCTCACTTCACACAAGGAGGGAACATGGCTAGTACTGTACCTCACTTCACCAAGGAGGGAACATGGCTAGTACTGTACCTCACTTCACACAAGGAGGGAACATGGCTAGTCTGCACCTCACTTCACACAGGAGGAAATGCTGTGATGAGGAACATGGCTAGTACTGCACCTCACTTCACACAAGGAGGGAACATGGCTAGTACTGTACTTCACTTCGGAGGAACATGGCTAGTACTGCCCTCACTCACGGATTCCTCACTTCACGGGGAGGAACATGGCTAGCTGCACCTCTACACAAGGAGGGAACATGGCTAGTACTGCACCTCACTTCACACAAGGAGGGACATAGTACTGCACCTCACTTCTGGTTTCACTTCACAGGAGGAAATGGCTAGTACTGACCTACACAAGGAGACATTTAGTACTGCACTCCACACAAGGAGGAACATGGCTAGTACTGCACCTCACTTCCTGTTGTAAACATAGTACCCATCTACAGTGGGGTGAACTGGGAGTGCCCGTGGGATCCACTGACCCATGGAACAGGAAGATCGAACCACTGACCCATGGAACAGGAAGATCGACCACTGACCCATGGAACAGGAAGATTGAACCACTGACCCATGGAACAGGAAGATCGAACCACTGACCCATGGAACAGGAGGATCAATACCACTGACCCATGGAACAGGAGGATCAAACCACTGACCCCTGGAACAGGAGGATCGAACCACTGACCCATGGAACAGGAGGATCAAACCACTGACCCATGGAACAGGAGAATCAAACCACTGACCCATGGAACAGGAGAATCAAACCACTGACCCATGGAACAGGAGGATCAAACCACTGACCCATGGAACAGGAAGATCAAACCACTGACCCATGGAACAGGAAGATCAAACCACTGACCCATGGAACAGGAGGATCAAACCACTGACCCATGGAACAGGAGGATCGAACCACTGACCCATGGAACAGGAGGATCGAACCACTGACCCATGGAACAGGAGGATCGAACCACTGACCCATGGAACAGGAGGATCGAACCACTGACCCATGGAAAGGAGGCACGCACTGTACCCACTTGACTGCCATTCTCTTTTATATACACATACAGTACACCCTGAGTCTTGCCAAACCTTTCACAAGTTGATAATCTCTCCTTGTTCCATAAGATACTGTACATACTGTCTCTCTGTATGGGTCACTTAGCCAGATTTAGGTTTCATAGCTTAGTTTTACATCAAATTTAATTTAAGTCGGCTGATCTTTGTTTAGTGCAGTATTTTGGTATCATCTATTTTCTGATTGATGTGGTCAACTTCTTCATTTGAACACTTCAAGTTTTCCTCCATGTCTTGCTATTGTCTATGAAGCGCCTTTGCTCCAACTCCCTTGAATAACTTACCGTGTTTTACTGCAGGGAGTATTTAGGAAAATACCTTTTGTGTGGATTTTTCCTCCTGTAGCCATAGTTTTCTTATAGTAATATATACATTACCAGTAAATGTAAGGAATGAATACAAATAATTCCAATAAATAAATTACAACAAAAAATACTCTATTGTCAAACCAGTAAATAAAAGCCCAATGAAAGAGTAACACAATTGCCATTTACATATACTGTACATCTGGACTCCCTGGTTCACCATAGCAATGCAGACGCTATCTCCACTGATTCGCTAGCAATGCTACCCCCCCCCCCACTTCACTTCGCTTCCTGCCACCCCCCCCCACTGAGTCAGCTAATTCATGTGCAAAAATAGTATACTATATTCCCTTTATGAGTTTGCCCTTAGGACAATTATTTCTTTTTACTTTTTTCACAATATATATTTAGGAGTGTGTGTGTGTGTAGCTTAGTAAACATAAATGAACAAAGTTACATATATCTACCTGAAATTACGAGGTGAAAAACAACCATAACACCTCACAGCTTGGCCCAGTAGCCTGGTGGTTATAGTGATGAGTCTAACTTGGCTACAATGCTGCCAGTGATGTTAACAGATGTAAATGTGAAAAGAAAGTTATCTGTAAATCTTCATTTGTTTCAGGTATTTGTAGATTTAAAAATAAATGTTGCAGGTATGGCATTAATAGACAGTAATGCTTGTAAGAGTTCAGAAATGGTTACAGCTTAGTTACCTCTGTAGAGTTGGGTGACTCTGGTTATCATCATCAGTACAGTGCAGAGTAGTTATAGATCGACCTTTTGTATTTACAATAATTACTTTATAATTCTAGAGTTGTGTTAGGTAGAAGTTACCCTACTGGAGACAGCATCTGGGGGATTCATTAGCTTACAGGAGACCACAACTTCACATATAGGACACAGGCTGATTTTTTTTAGCCATTTTTCATACCAAAAAGTGTATTTTATATGCCGTAAAATACAGTAACTTACAAGTTTATAAGTCAACATGAAGAATTCTTTTATTGTTGGTGCAATATCTGTGTGACACAAACTTGTAGCATATTTACTTTTCTCCATTTCAGGGAGACAGAAGTGCCATCTTAACAACCCATTCAATGGAGGAGGCTGATGCTCTTTGTTCTAGAATTGGGATCTTAGTGAAGGGTGGTATGAGGTAAGTCACTAATATCTGTGGACTTATGAGTGAAGGCTGGTATGAGGTAAGTCATTAATATCTGTGGACTTATGAGTGAAGGCTGGTATGAGGTAAGTCACTAATATCTGTGAACTTATGAGTTTTATAAATTATTTTCTCCAATTTATTTGACCCCTTGTATATGGAGTCACCCCTGAGCTGAATAAAATCATCTGTCATTAGCCAAATAAAATATTACAAGTGGCATTCCCAATGTGAAAAGTTTAATAACACTTCATGGTTGATGGTATTCAGGTTATGAACATATTAAAAAGAAAATTACCTGAGAGAAATACCTGAAGAACAGCAACTTTATACAGTTGAGCCAGAATATATGTTGTTGTGTCATGTATGTGGTGGCCAGTCAAAAGCAGTAAACTTACTGTATAATAATAAATAAAATTAAGTACTTGAAACATGATATGACTTCCTGGTGGTGGTGACTGACGCTGCACCACTTCTCCAGTTTAGGAAAATTACTCTGAACAACAGACTTAAAGTTTCTTGTAAACACTTAGCAATTTGACCTTAATGACCATGAAAAAAAAAATAAATACAGTTGTCCCTCGGTTAACGAGCACAATTCGTTCCAGAAGGTTGCTCTTTAACCGAAAAATTCGTTAACCGAAACCATTGTTTCAATGGGTTTTTGGGTAATTGGTTCCAGCTCACCGAAAATTACGTACAAACAAAAAATAAATGCAGTAAAGTACGTACACTTATTTTGAGGTGTACATGTAGAAGGCTCTTGGTTGATGATGATGATGATGGGAATTAGAATGGGGGTGGAGGAGAAGGGAGAAGAGAAGGCATTGGGGTGGAAGAGAAGTCACCCCATGCTGCCATTTCACCCATAAAATTTTAGTTCACTGGGTGTAATTCAAGATTATTTTCTTTAAATCAACACTGCACTGCACTATATATTATCAATACAGTATTACCCCGCTTTACTCGGTTTCACTTTCCACCATTTCTCATTTACGTGGTACCTTGCCTGAACCAGACTTTCACTTTCCTCGGTGCATCTACTCATATACGCGGTGAAGTATATATATATTTTTTTATTATTTAGCTCATAAAATTCATACAAATTACCCGGCCAGACTATAATTTACATTGCTGGAATTCTTACAATATGATGATAATTTTGAATATAAACATCATGGATTTTGCATTAGACTTCCCCTTGTTGGGCTCTGTGGTGGGGGGGGGAGGAGGGGGATTTATTTTGTTTCTTTTTATGATTGACACAAACTCAATAACTCAATTAGCCGGCCTAATAATCCCCCTGACGACCCTGCACCCGTCCCTGGACCCTCCTCTGGGTCATCAGTTGCTACATTGCTGCCCTATCAGATTGGGAAAAGTGGCTCTGGGTCACAACAAAAACCCAAGTATAAGAGCCACAGGAGGCCCACTGATCCCGGCACCCTCCATGACGCTTCTAGCCGTGAGATCTTACCAGGTGTGTTCAAACTGGCAGATTTCACAAAATATCTAGTGCTCTGTACTGTGGAAGGCCAGCCTGTAGTGAACCTGGACATGTTTGATGTTCACAGGTCAATAGTAACATTTGTGGGAGAGAACCAAAAATATCCACCCAGCAAGATGGTAGCCTCCTAGTGGAGGTCTCCTCCCCCGAGGAGAGTGCTTGACTTTGTACCCTGTCTGAGGTACCTGGTGCTCCAGTCTTCTGTACTCCACATGCCACCTTTAACCAGTGTTGAGGGGCAGTATTCTCTAAAGCGCTGCTCCAATACTCAGAGGAGAAGCTTCTGGAGGAGCTCCAAGACCAAAAGGTGGTGAAAGTGGACAGGTTCCACAAGAAAGAAAATGGCCTTCTTAACCTCACACCAACTCTTACTGACACTTGAACTAACAACCTCTATCAAGGTTTCCTGGATCTCTCTCAAGGTGAAACCATACGTCCCAAACCCTAAACAATGCTTCCATTGTCATTATTATGGCCTAGTGAAGTCATGAAGCTCTGCAACTGCAATTGCTGAACAACCATATAATTTATCACAACCGCCACAACCGCCACAACCACACGAACCCACGTGGTCGTTGCTGATGTGAAACAATCACAAACGAGAGTTGAGACATTCATTGGTCAGTGGGGCCCTCCAACCACTGTGTTGCCGTTATGTACAATAATAGATACAATTAACAATGTTTTTAGATGTTTACAGTAATAAATCTTTAGTAACTTCCTTAATTACAGGTGACCATTAGTGACCTTTTTCACACAAGGATAATATGATGAGCATAAACCTCTTGTTTTTTCCTCCATCAAAACGCCATAATTTGGGGCAAAACATGACTGTACAGTACTGTAATGTACAACCTGTACTCAAATGTACTAAGTTAATTACAAAATTTTTGTCTAGTTCAAACTATAAGCTAACTTGCAAGAATTCCAGCAATGAAAGTTATATTCTCCTAAGTCAAGTCAGTACCATTTTCTAAGAGAAAAACTTAAATTCCCTGTTTTGTATAATCCTGAGTCCCTGACCTGCACCAACCCTCCCCCTCCACTGACAACTAATCTCCCCTCGCTGGCTGTCAACACCCCACCACCACCTCCCCCCTCTTCCCAACCAGCAGGGGAGGCAGATGGCAGTGATCAGGATTTTACAAGATGAATTTGGTTTAGGCTTAAAGTTTTTCTCTTATAAAATGTCACAGACTTGACTTAGCAGAATATAACTTTCATTGCTGGAATCCTTGCAAGATGACAATTGATTTGAGTATAAACATCCCATAGTTTGCACAAGATAAAAATTTAAGTCCTTTAGCTTAGTACATTTGAGTACAAATTGCACACTAGAGTAATATGTTGCTTAAAATTACGACTTTTCACTTGGGAAATCATAGGAAGATAAGTTGAAAAGTTCACACAGGTTACAACATTACTCCAAGTTTAAAGTTAAACCAAACAACCTCAACCATGCAGTTGTGACTTCCACACAGCTGCAACCACAACTGTGGAGCTTTGAAATCTGACAACCATGACATCACTAGTATGGCCACGTCAGCCACACTAGTTGTAAGTTACAGCAGGATGTTCCTACAGTCTGTGTCAACTGTGGTAAGGCCCATGAGGGTCAGCCATGTCTGGGTCTGGTCTGCTGTTTTCACTGTAGTGGGGTACACCCGGCCTCTTTTAGTGAATGTGACCGGTTCTGAATTGAGAAAGAAATACTAAGGATCTGCACAAGAGACAAAGTGAGTGTTGCTGAAGCCAGAAACACAGCACTGAAATATATCTCAAGTCATGGGGATACCTATGCACAGGTTGTATCCCGACACAAAGCTCAGCGAACTGTTGCTGCAACACCTCCCCGAGAATCATCAGTACATGTATTGAATTCAGCTCCCACACCCAACTCCATGCCACCAATCCTCAGTCCTTCTCTAGTGGCTGAGGTCCATGAGGCCGGCACATCTGTCACTCCTCATCTTTCCTCCACCAGCAGTCATGGTACTACAAGAATTTCAAAAAAATGCTACTGAGAGTCCTCAGAGTCTCTGGAGGTAGACAATCCTGAGTCCCATACACCCCAACAGAAGTCAGCTCAGGCTGGCGCATCCTCTTCAGAGATGCCGACTGATCCTCTACTGGAAGCCTCTGGTGATGAGATCCCAGGTAATATTGTGCTGGCAGCTGGGACCCCTGACTCAGGGGTCACCTCTATGGATCCTACTTCTGGGGAGCCATCTCCGGAGGTTACTCTGGTTAGGGTCCATCGGATGGTTCTACATCTGGGTCATCTGTGGCCACAAAGTCACAGTCACGTCTTTCAACTCCAGGCAGTTTGTTGAAATACATTTACTGAAAGGGGACAACATGTATGGTGTACACGTAGGGAGTGACAGTTTTGCAAAAGTTTTCAAAATCTAATTGCTTGGGTTGGATTATTTGTCTATCGGCCACGCTAATTCCGAATATGTTTGAGTTTTTTACATCATTGCATTAGAAGGTTTGTGGATACTTTTGGGTTTGGCATGAAAAACGCGAAAAAACTGTAAATAATAAAGGGACTGGCAATGTGGCACAACCTGTTAAAATCAAGTTATTGAATTGGATTATTCGACTACTGTGTACACTGGTTCATAATATGCTATTGTTTTACAACTCAATGCGCTACAAATTATGCCGATATTTTTGATGCAAGTCACCACATACGTCTCTCCACTTTCTTCCAGTTAGTCACTTTAGACTTGTCCCCTTCAGTTATGATGTTGTCTGCAGCTCTGATGGTGTTTGCGATGTGAGCCACTGCATCATTGGATACCTTGAACCTGTCAGCAGTTTCTCCGATCCTGTCCTCGGCTTCTTTCTCCCTTTTCCTTTTCTCTGATCTTGCTCTCCTGTCGACCATAGTCTTGAACTCATTGTCATTGACATCCTTATAATCACTATCTTCTTCCTGAGCACTGTCATCCACTGCCGACACTTTACACGACATCCTCTCCATCTCCTCCTTACTCTTTGACCTCATCTTCTCAGTTTTCCTCTCTTCCTCAGCCCTTTTCTTTGCCCTCTTCGCTTCCTTCTCCCTCTCTTCTTTCAGCTTGGCAGTCACAATTTTGTCAACGCCATCAATGCAGCCCTCCCTTCCCGGTTTCCTCTGGGCTGCCAGGAAGCTTTTCTCTCGTTCGTGCACTTTGCTGTCGTCTGCCACATCAAACAACTTCTCAGCTATATCCTCGAACCTCATCTTCAGCTTCCCGTTCTTCGTTTTCTTCCTTTTCTGTTTCTGTCCATTTCCCTTCATCATCATCGTCTCCCTCCGCATCCTCCACAGGTCGTGGACTCTCATTTTCACCCTGATTTCAGAGATAGTGGGGACAGTGGCCTTCCTATACACATCCAGTACCTTCTCAGTCACCTTGTTGGTGGCATCCATATAATCAAAAGCATTTGTTCTTCTCCTTAACCTCTCGTTTTCTGCTTCATAAGCCAGGGCACTTCCAACTTCCTTGTTCAGAGGCAACTTGTTAGATGGCAGAGGCATCCGAACCCCGAACACCTTATCGTTACCCTGGCGCAGCTGAGTGTTGCTAATCTTAGGACGACCCATCTTGGTGGCGGCCCTTTGAACTAACTGCAAAACAACACAGAAAAAACAACTTTCAGCACTTCAATATCACCACCTATTGAACAATATTTTATTCAAAAGTACGGACTGAGATTTTGTCCTTAACTGTCCAAGTCAAGCTACTTGGGCTGAATTCGTTGATCAGTCCTGGGACGAATATTACCAACGGCGTGAATAGATTCCGTGGAATAAATTCAGGGCATTCCCGTCCAGGGAGCCTCAACAAACTCTGTAAATATTGCCATTGGCCTGCCATTGGCACATATACGGAGTTTGGTAATGTTCCATGAGCGGGAATGTCCTGAATTCATTCCACGGAATCTATCCACGCCGTTGGTAATATTGGGCCCTGGTTTTCGAAATATACGTATGTGGTGACTTGCAGCAAAAATATCGGCATAATTTGTAGCGCATTGAGTTGTAAAACAATAGCATATTATGAACCAGTGTACACAGTAGTCGAATAATCCAATTCAATAACTTGATTTTAACAGGTTGTGCCACATTGCCAGTCCCTTTATTATTTACAGTTTTTTCGCGTTTTTCATGCCAAACCCAAAAGTATCCACAAACCTTCTAATGCAATGATGTAAAAAACTCAAACATATTCGGAATTAGCGTGGCCGATAGACAAATAATCCAACCCAAGCAATTAGATTTTGAAAACTTTTGCCAAACTGTCACTCCCTGTACAGTGTTGTGGGGGTCTGACTGCATCATGTGGGGGGGGTGAAAAATTTTTATATTTTATTTTTAGTAGATTTTTATCTTTTTATTCTTTACTTTTCTTTTCTAAATTCTTATTTATTTATTTATTTTTTTCTCATTTATATTTCTGTTACTTTTCTCTTCTCTAGTTATATTCTGATCTTGGGTTTACCTGGGATACCCCCTTGTTGCCTTACAGTCTTCAGTACTCACGGTAGCTGCCACCACCCGGGACTTTTCTATCAGAATAAACTGTATAACACAACATTAACCTCTTAAACACAACCCTTGGGGGTAGTATTGTGGTGAGGGCCAGGCTCCTGGGTTCTAATATATTCACTGGCACAAATTATGAGGGAGAAAGAAAGGTGGATACTGTAGTGGTAATGATATCACAGAATACATTAAGATTATTTATTGTAATGAAGTTGAGTATAGGAACACATCAATAGAACACAAACACCTGAACCACTCCTTGGGGTTCACTCGAGACTTGGCCAAATTTACATAAACCAATTATAAGGACCACTTGGCCTTACTTCCAGCTTAGCAAAAGCAAGTCTTCAAATTTAACAGAGGCAATGTTCACTCTCCAAAACTGTCATAAGGCTGTACCATAATTATTATGACTCTCAATACTGGGGATACAGGCGCACACTTATCTCTACTCTACGACACAACCTTACCTCTCGTCCCTCATTAATGTTATACCTGTTAACACTCTTTACAACACAGGACACTTTGGTGTTCGTCTTTTCAGTGAGAACAATATACTGATACAGACAAGATGAATTACCGTTGGGCTTATGCCAGCTGGGATCCAAACATTGACGTGCGTTCACACTCATCGAATCTGAGGCCGAGCTCAAGCTTTGAAGCTGAGTCTTGGATCCACTTGGCTTGCTCCTTGATGAGCCCACTTAAACCCAATCATGGTTTACTCAATGCATCCTGTCTCCACTCGCCACCAACCCTCGGCAGCCCCAACAACACTTACAGTACCTGTTATGCAGACAATAAGGCACTCAAAGCGAGCTGTCATGGCGGTGCACTCTACTTTGACAGGTTCTGATCAATGATAAATGAGTTTCTTTAATGCCAAAATGACGATCACTTCAATACAGTCATCACATTCTTTGATGGCTGTGGATCAGATGCATATAACTTCAGTTTTCAATGGATATCTCGTAACTTCACAAGAGACAAAAACAGTTATCATGAATTTGGCTGGGAATTCATATACAGTAGACCCTTGCCATGTGTGAGGGATAGGTTCCAAGAAATGGCTCAAATTGGCAAAACTGCGAATAGCCACTAATATACAGGTATACCTATACTGTGTAGGAGAAACTTAAGTCACAATACTGTACTTACATTAGTATGTGGAAGTCTGGAGCTTGATGATGTGGTGCACTGTACAGGAAGATATCTGGTTACTGAAGCATAGGTGGATCATCAAGATCACTGGTGGAAGAGGGTGATGCAGTGGTGGTTGGTGGTCGGCCAAAACACTGGCAAAAGGTTCTTGTTTTTTACCTCTAAAGCCCAAGGGTTTGCTGAGTGGTAAAGCAAGCCAGGCATGATCATGTGGCCAGCCACATTGCCACAGAAGATGCACGTCACTCTGCCCTTGGCTGCCTTGAACCCAGAGGCACGTCTCCCCTGCTTGTTTATGTACAGGTACCAGGCTTGTTCTTCCAGTATAAACCAGATTCATCAGCATTAAACACTCGCTCTGGTCTACAGCCTTTCTCTTCTATTATTTTCTTTAACTTGGCGGTAAATGCACCTGCGGCTGTGTGGTCAGCTGATGTGGCCTCCCCAGTCAGCTTCATACTATGGAGTGAGAATCTTTTCTTAAAGTTCTTGAACCAACCTTTACTGGCACTAAAAGTTGGTTGAGTCACCGCACCAGCCCCTTCACCTCCCATTAACTCATAAAAATGACCATAAAGACTTTTAGCCTTTTCTCGAGTCACGTTGCCATCGATCGGAACATTTTTGTGTCCGCAACCCAAATGTTCAGCGCTTTCTCAGTGTTCACTATGTTGTTGTCACGAACAACCTGTGCCACTTGCAGGAGCACTCGCTTGAACAGAATCACAAATTACTTGTTAATTTTTTTTTATGTACTGTACCGCACTGTGGATTTTTTCACACCAAACAGCCAACCAGCCGTGGCAGCACTCATCCCCTACTTTAAATTGTCTAATAGTTCAACTTTCTTTGTCACTGACTTCTGTCTTTTATGTTTCACTCCACTTGCATCACTAGCACTGACACTAGGCAGTCTGTTAGGAGCCATTTTCATGCAGAAACAGTAAAGTTTTGGGAGTACAACACAGGATGCTGGGTCATGGGTACTGGGTGATGAGGGAGATGAGACGCTGCTGGTGTGTGTGTGGGGTGACCAGTTGTGCTGAGGGAGAAGACTCACATGCTAGCCACCCGAGCCAACAGCTGCTCAACGCGAATCATTGAAATTGCGAATCGTAAACCCGTGAGTGGGAAGGGTCTACTGTACTTCATCTGAGTACAATTTTCAACATAAACACACTGAATCATGAATGCTTCACTAACTGGTAAGGTATACATACATGTTACATCATAATTTTAACTCTACAATACTGTACAGTGGTCCCTCGGTACAGTAATCTGTTCTATGTTTACATTTGTTTCAAGTGGAATAAATATCAATAAAGTTGTGGTCTTTATTATTTTGCATTTTCTATGTTAAAATTATGTCATTTTAACATTTATTTAACATTTTGATAATATATGCAGTACAGGGAACTAGTTTTTTGTGTGCCCATCAGACGCTTGACTCAGCCAACAGGTGTTAGTTTGGCTTTGAAAACAGTGGAGTGAACATCTATTTTGTTGGTGTCTTGAATATTTTTGCATTTTTTATTGAAATTATTGGTCATTCTGAACTTTAATTAACATATCGATAATATATAGTGCAGTGCAGTGTTGATTTAAAGAAAATAATCTTGAATTACACCAAGTGAACTTAAAATTTTATTGGTGAAATGAGGCATCAAGCATGGGTCCCCTGAAGGTGATTTCTCCTCCACCCCCACTTCTAATTCCCATCATCATCATAATCAACCAGGAGCCTTCTACATACACACCTCAAAGTAAGTGTACTGTGCTACATTTTTTTTACTTTGTACGTACTTTTCGGTGAGCTGGAACCAATTACCCAATATCCCATTGAAACAATGGATTCGGTGAACGAAATTTTCGGTTCACGAACGACCCTCTGGAATGACTTGTGTTCGTTAACCAAGGGACCACTCTACTACAGATGAGCAAGGGTGACCGTATATAAACATCTCAGAAGGCACTACTTAGTCAAGTGTACTTACCTGGAGCTGGGGGATGCCCACCTCACAAGGGGTCATAACTCAATGATGAAGGAGCCACTAGTCCAGTAAACTGTGAGGGTGAGAGTGTTGTTGAATGCACTGAGTGTGAGCTCTTTCAAGACCAGACTTGACCAACACTGGAGCAGGTTCAGGTACATTCAGGAGCCGGTGCATGCCCAGTACTTGCCAACAGAGTGTAACAGAGACGTGACCGATTGCCTAAGCGGCTAACGAGCCGATCAGTGGTGAAGAGGATAAAAGTAAAAATAATAACACTCAGGTGTGTAGGATCCTAGACACCAATAATAACACTCAGTAATGTCTTTCAGGTGTGTAGGAGCCTAGACACCAATAATAACACTCAGTAATGTCTTTCAGGTGTGTAGGAGCCATTCAACATTTGAAGAACAAGTATGGAGGGGGATACACTGTGGAAATGAAATTGAAGTGTGATGCCACAAATGTTGAAGAAGTTAACTCACCATCATCTGGTTCATCTGTGGAGTAAGGGTTGATACTTAAATCTTCTAAACTGACTATTTGGTTGTGTTGAAACAATACTTATAAAAAGGAGGAATATTTTTAATGCATTGTGCCAGAGAAGGTGTTGACGTTAGGTGAAGTATCCTGTGATAATAGTGACACACACACACACACACACACACACACACACACACACACACACACACACACACACACACACACGCACGCACACACACACACACGCACGCACGCACGCACGCACGTGTACGTATGGGGTAGTTAATCTCTGTATATTATATGGAGTGGTCATACTCGAGCTAAATTATTATTAAGCCTTCCTATTATTACTTGGTTCATGCTAAGACTACAAGTTGATGTAGTATTTAATGTGAATTCTTGTCAAGTTATTGTAAATATTTCAATAACTGTCAAGATTTATAGAATTCTAATTATAAAATATTGCCTGAAAACTATCTTAAAGAAATAATGCATGATTATATGCTTTGTTTTAGCATGTTTTTGAAATATAAAGAAAAGGTTTGACTCTGTGTACAGTAACTTGAAGTTGTGTTCTTATGATGCAGATTAATGAATGACGTTACTGCCATGCTGAAGGAGGTATTCCCAAGAGGAGTCCTAGATGAACAGTTTGGGGAGCGCATCATCTATAAAGTACCCCAGGATGACATCTCAAGTCTATCAAAATGCTTTGAGATGCTGGAGAAGGGTAAGACACTAACACATAGTAAACATTTAATGTGTGATGCTGGAGAAGGATAAGACACTAACACATAGTAAACATTTAATGTGATCATTAATTAATTATCAAATAAATCACATCACAAGTTTTAGACTGTGCAAAAACCAGGTGCTTGCCCAGGCCAGGTGGTGCACTCAAGGGAGGTGCTTGCCCAGGCCAGGTGGTGCACTCAAGGGAGGTGCTTCAGGTGGTGCACTGTGCTTGCCCATGGTGCACTCAAGGGAGGTGCTTGCCCAGGCCAGGTGGTGTGTGCTTGCCCACTGCAAGGGAGGTGCTTGCCCAGGCCAGGTGGTGCACTCAAGGGAGATGCTTGCCCAGGCCAGGTGGTGCACTCAAGGGAGATGCTTGCCCAGGCCAGGTGGTGCACTCAAGGGAGATGCTTGCCCAGGCCAGGTGGTGCACTCAAGGGAGATGCTTGCCCAGGCCAGGTGGTGCACTCAAGGGAGATGCTTGCCCAGGCCAGGTGGTGCACTCAAGGGAGATGCTTGCCCAGGCCAGGTGGTGCACTCAAGGGAGTCTCACATTGTATTATTTGGCTCCAGTAACCAGACCATCAGGAATATCATCAACATTTTAGTTATTACTTTTTTTTTGTTGTGGACAAACATGAACACTGGCTGCCATACTCTGTCAGTGGGAGTAATTAAGGATAGCATTATAAGTATTTTCATATTACATTAGATAAATGAAGTTGAATTTATAACCTATAATGTAGACTGGATTGGTAAGAGATGATGAAGGTATTTTTGGTATAATGTCAGTAAGATTGTATCAGAGTAGAACAACTGAAACAAGAATATCCTGAATAGAGCTGAGAAAAGTTAGGATTGAATTGAATTAAACAAAAATTAATATCTGTTAGACAATGATTAGAAAGAATTTTTTTGAGCATGTTTTTTGTTTGAGTTAATTAATGGTACAGTAGACCCTCTATATATTGTCAAATGGCACCAAGGATTAGAGAATGGGTACAGGACTGTAGCACAAAAAATTCTTTAAGACACCATTTTTCTCACTTCAACTTCTAGAGTAATTTCTTCATTTCAATAAACTTTTTAACACAGTATCTCACCATGAGTCTGAACAACTGCTTCCTGAACTCTAGTATGTTTAGACTCAAGATGACTGATGGAGCAATACTACTTGGGGTATCGTGGACCATGCATGATTTGTATACATGATGCTGGCCCGTGCTGCCATCTACTGAGGGCAAAGTGTGCCTGAGTGGGCTATTCCCCGTAAAAATAAGAGAAAAAAAAAGAGGTATTTGGGGTCAGCGTGTGGCACAAGTTACCTCACCACTCACACGTCTCAGTAAAGTGGTTCATTGAGTCACTCACCACTTCTTATGATGTGTAACTTCTCATTTCACGTCCATCCCATAACTACAACACTTCCTTTTAGCCACTACATCACCTTACTCCGGTGTGGAACTGATGGCTACAAAAGTAGTCCACCAGTGTCACCAAAGACACAACAAAGTTGATAATTATAGTTCTTGGAGCACTTTAAAATAATGCCTGTGGACACTGGTACTGAGCATGTATGGTGCAGGTGATAAGGATGACCTTTCACAGAGTGGGAGGCAGGCAGGTAATTTCAATCACTCAAACATTTGTCCTCCCCATGATCAACAGATTTCAGCCTTACAATACTTTTAACTGGGGGGTTGTACATTACACTTTACCACACATGAGTTGTACGTTCAATTCACTGTTGTTTTGTGACAACTAACCCACCTTATAGAGATATTGTCCAGGAGGTTAGTACTGTACAGTGATATCCCCGTTAGCTGGAACAATTGGTTCAGAGCACTTCCGAGATTGAGAGATTTCCGGGTAACGAGACGACTCTCTCAAAGCCAGAAAAAAAACCTTATCCCCGGAATTTTCCGGGTAACGGGAAAATTTTCTCAGAATTTTCCAGAAAATGTGCCCCTCGGAAAATTTTCCGAGAAAATTTCAATTCCTGCTATCGGAGAGTTCCGGGTTTGATGAATTCCGGCTACTGTACAGTAGGGTCGGGATATATCGCGACTCTTTATAACGATTTTTTTATATCGCGGCTGCCAAATTATCGACATTTTCCTAAATACAATAAAGCCTCAAATAACGACGGTAATGTGTCCTTCAATATTGGTGTAAGGTGAATCGTCTTATCGCGACTCATTAATTACCATTATAATAAGGCAATAATAATGAGATGTGTTCCCAAGTGTGACCTTTTCATATCTTTTGTGTGGCTTTTTACCCTCCTCTCCCCCCCAAAACAATACAATTAATGAAAAGTCCAAACTATATTCTTTAAATAATGTTTCTGAATGCACCTTATACAATATAAATGAATAATAATATGGTCACACAAGAGGAGATGGGACGCCATTGTTTTCATTTGTGTTTACAGCCGGTAGTCCGGGACAATAGTTCTACACGAGAAAATAAAACCTTGGCTGTAGCTGTAGTAAAATTAATGTAAAAAAATTAATACAGTATAGTCTCAGTTTACGCGGTCAATTAAACCCGTGGAGGTCCTCGTAAAACGAGAAACGTGTAAACGAAATAACAGAACATATGGGATTAATTGAAATAGAGACTGGGCCGACCCCCAGACTACCTTTTTTCCGACACAATACGTACGTTGTAGTAAAAATAACATCTTAATTTTATGATGGTATGCACACACAATTAATATTTAAGAGAAATATCAATAATATTAGGTTTTTTAACACTTACGTTAGTAGAAGAGATGGCTGGGCACACAGGGATGGGGGGTTGGTTCTGAGGCAGAGGGCAGATTATTGGCCCTCACCTGTATCACTTGTATCACCTGTATCACTATTCACCACAGAGGCTTGCAGGGCCTCTTTGTCAAACCCCTCAAAGTCCATATCCTCACTATCACTGACTTGGGCCGGCTGTGGTGGGTGGCAGGTGAAGAACTCGGTAATGTTTTGTTGACTGGGCGCCGCTTCCCGCGTAAATAATGGAATGTACCGTGTATCTAATAATTGCCGGTCTGGCCAGGTGCCGCGTAAATGACCAACCGCGTAAAGGAAATCTGCGTAAATCGAGACTATACTGTATATATGTTTTAACTAATGTTATTTAATGTTAATAAATGGAACACTAGAAGTAGCTAACCACTAATGGCAAAGAAAAAAAAGAGATGGATTGGGAACGCCAACATATATGTGCGCATTTAAGGATACCGCGTCATTTATCTTTTTAAGATTATGTACAAAAGATTCATTATTGTTTATTACTGAATATGTATTTGATTGAATTAATGTTCATATATGTGAAATGAACAACGCAATTCATTAATAATACGTAGAATATTAAAACACACACGAGGAGACAAGACGGCATTGTTTTCGTGAGTGACACTGGTTCTACATAAGAAACTGAAGAAAATAAGACCCCGGTTGTAGCTGAAGTGAACTTAATTTAATATAAATTGATACCTGTATGTATGTTTTAAGTAATGTTATTTAATGTAAATAAGTGGATCACTAGAAGTAGCTAACCACTAATGGTAAAGAAATAAAGCGAGACGATTGGGAACGCCAACGTATGAACAGTAAGTGCGTACATGTGAAAACATAACTATCGTCATTTCTCTACATATGAATATGAAAGCAACACTTATTTACTGTTCATATATGTTTTAAATAATATTTATGAATGTAAAACAAAACTTCTACTCACCAATGGTGGTAAAGTCTAAAACACAAGGACAGCCAATGAATATTGTGAGAGTTTTTACTCGGATGACGAAGTCATCAGGTTCAACTCTGGCTGAAGTTGTAGCTTTCCATAAAGCTGTTGCTGAAACTGTTACTGAACCTGAAGTTGATGTTGAAGCTGCTTATGATGCTGAATTTGATGGTGTAGCTGAAGTTGATGGTTTAGGCCTTTGAATAATAACCTGTCGAAAGAACCTTGCACAGCTGCTTTATTTTCTCATTATACATCTTTCTGTTAGCTTTTGAACCAACACTACCATCACTTGCTCTCTTGCTCATGTTGAATAGGGATGGAAAAATGTTGTAAGAAACTTGAGAAAGTTTTTCTCAAGTTCCTGTACCAGATGCGTGAAAACAAAAGGCCCACCAAGCTCCGACTGTTGTTTACCACTCATTAGCAAGTCAGCTTCTTTGTGCAAGGCGCTCTTCATTTTTTCACAGTAATTTTTTGTTTATAATACATATCGGGATTTAGTTATTATTTACTACAGTATTACCCCGCTTTACACGGGTTTTTTTTGCGCGTTTCCACGTTTACGCGGTACCCTGCCAGACCCGGAATGCTCATTTTACGCGGTGCGTGTACTCTCTTACGCGGAGAGCGGCGCGGGCAGGGTGCGCACAAGGTCGCTCAGTCATCAAAACATAACCGAGTTTTTCACCCGCCACCCACCACAGCCAGCCCAAGTCAGTGATAGCGATAGTGAGGATATGGACTTATATGGCCTTTGAGGGGTTTGACAAAGAGGCCCTGCAAGCCTCTGTGGTGGATAGTGATACAAGTGAGGGCCAATTATCTGCCCTCTGCCTCGGAACCAACCCCCCATCCCCGTGTGCCCAGCCATCTTTTCTACTAATGTAAGTGTTAAAAAACCTAATATTATTGATATTTCTCTTAATTATTAATTGTGTGTTCATACCATCATAAAATTAAGAAGTTTTTTTACTACAACGTAGGTATTGTGTCGGAAAAAGTGGAGTTTGGGGGTCGGCCCGGTCTCTATTTCAATTAATCCCATATGTTCTGTTGTTCACTTTACGCGTTTCTCACTTTACGCGGGCCTCCGTGGGTTCAATTGACTGCGTAAAGCGAGGTTTCACTGTATATGAAAATGTAATTTTATTTAATTTTCATTATATTTTGGTTGTAAATATGAATGAAATAAGGATGTAAACTGAATTGGGTCCTAAATTAACTAGGGTTTTAAATATGAAAAGTTGT